GAAAGGGAACTACAACTACGACAGACAACTGCCCTACAACAATCAGTACTGGTCAGAACAAACTCATTATGTCCACGAATAATGGGCTTGCCGAAAAAGTCTCCCATTCAAACTATCACTAATAGAGTAACCTCATTCATCTTTGCCAACATAGAAGGACTGAAAACAAGAACAAACAACAAAGTACAGTTCATAAATGGCCTCCTCACGGAGTCAAATGCAGTATTTGGAGCTTTCACAGAAACCCATGCAGGGGAATTGTTGGACAGTGAGATCTGGATTCCAGGATATAACCTATACAGGTGTGATAGGAAAATTAGGTCACATGGAGGAGTGGGTCTGTATATTAGGGAAGACCTTGTATGCTCAGAGCTCCTAAACGTTACAAATGAGGTGGTAGAGGTACTGGGATTAAAAATAGAGAAAATAAATTTAGTGATTATTCAAATATACAAACCGCCAGATGCAACGGCTGAGGAATTCACAGAACAGATAAACAAAATAGAGAATAGCCTTAGTAGCACGATAAAATTGGAGAAAGGTACTTATCTTGGACATAGGGTAAAGGGAGAGAAAAAAGTAGGAGGAGGAGAACAGAGCCCACAGGAAAGGTGTAGTCACCACTACAGCTGCCGCAGAGAAGGACCAGCAAGCAGCTCTCTCAGCCTACAATGATGTTGCTGGCGGATACTCAACTGATCGTATGGTAGCAATCATCACAAGTATTCCCAGATGTGAGAGGATGGTCTCTCAAGATTATCCCACAGCTGACTTGAATGGCTAATTGCAGTGCACAGTGCACCGATCTCGTGTACAAGCCCTATCTCTGTTAACCCTGGATAGTAAACTGGCATGTTGGGTATCTCCAGGATGCCCACTTAACCAGGAATTTGTTTACAATACGGAGGCCGCCGTATGTCCAGGCAGGAAGTAGATACAGGGAAGTTAAGCATCCATGCCATAGAGTCACTGGGTACACAATGGATGTGACATCGTGAGAGAGAGAGGACGCCAGCAAGGCGATAGATCTGACCTCTGGGGTCAGCCTCAACCGGCGCGATGGAGAATAACAACTGTGACGTAGTCGTGACGTGTTCATGACGTCACCTCTGCTACTGATCATGGAACGATCAATATGATTGGTTCCCGCTCTTTTGCTGCAATGCCATTGGTCAAATTGTAATCCCTTGTGTGTGTCTCACGAGATGCCCTGCAGCCGCTGGAAGGGTATTCACATGAGGAAGCCCATACATAGAGGACGTGTCCTGTTCTGTCTATCGGCCAATTGGCTGGATACCGTCCATTCCTCACCATCACGTTAAACTCAGCGTCTTTTTGATATACCAACGCTCGCCCGGAATTGCGATCATGACTATATTGTTTGGAAGCCTAGTGACAAATCACCAGAGCGAAACAGACTGGTATCAGGCAACCCCCGGTGACAAATTGAGATTGTTGTGAGTGACCTAGAGTGAACTACGGAGTGCCGCTGCCTAAGTAACCTGTGTGTGACTTTACCACAGTGTACCGCATGGTACCATATAACCTGCAGCCACCAGCCACTACTGTCCAGAGCGTGTAGCTAACCTCAAGCCGCCAGCCACCCTGCCTCACTGTACAACGTCACGTTACCACCCTTACACACCGCCAGTGCCATCAAGTGTATGGTGTGTGTGTTAGACATACAGCACGCCCTCCTGCGAGTACACCCGTGTCAAGTACGGTTTGTGGGAAAGCCTGTCACCAATGGTCTCACGTCAGAACGAGCGAAACCAGCCGTCAGGCTATCTACAAGTTCTTGCATAAATGTGCCTGAGTGAGTGAGTGAATAAGAGAGGTAGCCTACCTGTAAGTACAAGATCTTGTTATTGTATTATTGTGTCTGTCTGTGTTGATCTGAGGGATCAACCACAGTTCTCACATTCTTATACCTGACACAGGTATAGGTGGAGACCTAGACACCCGACGGTGTATGCGTGTTTATTTGTGTGGTATCACGACATTACACTCGTCTGTGAATGTGAGCTTCACATACACCACACATTTAGTTATTGTGTGATATTATTATTGTGCATGTTATTGCCTGTCCCATTGACAGTGCCATTGTGAGTTATTGCGCATCATCATTACCCGAGTATCCGGTTGGAACTCTTGTGATCCCTTTGCACACCGGCAGTTAGGTTTGCCGTGTTAATGATTGACTGTCAACTGTGTTAAGTTAGGTGTTTCTCCACGTGTGGATCCGAATCGATTAGCCAGATGTCAAGAGTCTCGCTAATGCAACCATAGCCTTTCTGATGCCAATCTAAAGTAAATCAAGCACCCTTTGTATTAATGGTTAAGTTAGTAAATAAACTACTGTTAAGCTTTATGCGGTGTTTCCGTTGAACTACTTCTGAATACTGCCAACTATTTACTCCAGCCTTCAGCTCCAGGTGTCTTCAACACCGAGTTGCCTATTATTCACTAAACTATAAATGTGATGAGGACCCTAGGAGTCCCTTAAAGTGTTTCAAGCATTGAGGAGATTCCAACGATTAACGTGGACCAGGACCAGGTGAGGCTAGTCTTGAGAAGAGACCCTCAAGGACTCTAACTCGACCTTGCTCCCAGGCCCTGTACGGTTGCTTTCGTATTTTCTCTGCTGATTCCGACAGCTTTGTGAAGCGTCTGCCACATGTACATTGGCGACATACGCATTGCAGTCGGGAAAGCAAAATAGAAAACCCCACACCAGACATTCATTAAAGTATTGTTAAAGTTAGAATTGTTAAAGTAACTTACAGTTACAGTGGTACCTCGGAATGCGATTGTCCCTGTATGCAAGGTTTTCGGAAGGCGAGCAGTATTTACTCCAAAAATTTGTCTCAGAAGGCGAGGGTTACTTCGGGACGCGAGTTTGTTGATACGCGTACAGGCCGACCTAGCGCGTGGTGGTTCGGCGATCGTCGCCCCTCCGCCCCTCAGTTTACCATTGTCTCGCGCTCAGTGACTACCCCCACATCAATTCTTCTCGCGGATTTTCAGTGTTTTGTTGGATTTTTGGTGATTTGTCTATACAATTTGTTATTATATATCTCACCATGGGTCCCAAGAAAGCCAGTGGTAAGGATAAAGGCCAGAAAGCTCATGTGAGGATGACAATAGAGGAGAAACAAGAGATCATTCGGAAGCATGAGAACGGTACACGTGTTGTTGAACTTTGTAGGCAGTACAACAATATGCACTATACTTAAGAAGAAAAATAAGATTATGGGTGCTAAAGTGGCAAAAGGAGTAAGAACATTAACGGCACAAAGACCACAAATACTTGAAGAAGTGGAAAAGTTGTTATTAATTTGGATACACGACAAGGAGTTGAGGGGTGATAGTGTTTCGGAGGCCATTATTTGTGAGAAAGCCAGGGTGTTGCACGAAGACCTTCTAAAGAATACCCCTGCAACGAGTGATGCAGATAAGAAAGAGTTTAAGGCAAGTAGGGGCTGGTTTGAAAAATTTAGAAAGAGAAGTGGTATCCATAGTGTTACAAGGCATGGGGTTATGTGATGTGATTATGGAAGGGGACTCCCCTTCCAAACAGTAACTCCTCTCCTCCTCCCCCCTCCTCACCATCTTCCATACGCCTACAGCACTTGACAGCAAGGTAAGTAATAACTGGAACACAGTTTTGTAGGTTTATTTAGATGAATTAGGTAAATTAGGTATAAAAATTTAGTTTGATGTGGGGTTTTTGGGGTAGTCAGGAACGGATTAATTCATTTCCCTTTATTTCTTATGGGGAAATTAACTTCGGAATGCGAGTTTTCGGAAGGCGAGGCGTCTCCAGGAACGGATTAAACTCTTATTCTGAGGTATGCCTGTATTCTAATATCTAAGAATAGCTGATATCTAGCTTTATATTATATTTAATAATCAACAAGCACAGAGTCTGAATGCTCTGTGATTAACAAGATTCATCTTAAGTCTGGAGAGGAAGACGGGAACAAATGCATACCCAGGATTTAAGAAGCCATGAATGTAAATGTTATTGTTAATTAAACATCCTTCTCACATGATCCAATCCTATGAATCAATGTCTACAATTATTTAGAACTCAAATTGATCTCTGGTTTCCAATTAAGAACCCAGGGTCGTAACAACCTCCATCACTGCCTCTATCCTTCTCCATCACTGCCTCTATCCCCTCCATCGCTGCCTCTATGCCGGGGAGCCGGTCGGCCGAGCGGACAGCACGCTGGACTTGTGATCCTGTGGTCCTGGGTTCGATCCCAGGCGCCGGCGAGAAACAATGGGCAGAGTTTCTTTCACCCTATGCCCCTGTTACCTAGCAGTAAAATAGGTACCTGGGTGTTAGTCAGCTGTCACGGGCTGCTTCCTGGGGGTGGCGGCCTGGTCGAGGACCATGCCGCGGGGACACTAAAAAAAAAAACCTGAAATCATCTCAAGATAACCTCAAGATAGATGCCCCTCCATCAGTGCCTCTATCCCCTCCATCACTGCCTCTGTCTCGTACATCACTGCCTCTATCCTCTCCATCACTGCCTCTATCCTCTCCATCACTGCCTCTATCTCCTCCATCACTGCCTCTGTCTCGTACATCACTGCCTCTATCCTCTCCATCACTGCCTCTATCCTCTCCATCACTGCCTCTATCCCCTCCATCACTGCCTCTATCCTCTCCATCACTGCCTCTATCCTCTCCATCACTGCCTCTATCTCCTCCATCACTGCCTCTATCTCTTCCATGAACAATGAATTATTCTTGTTATATATTATTTAAAAATGCGTTACATAAATACCTCTTGAAGTCATCTCCGTTTGCAAAAAATCCGTCACTCCAACAAGTCAGGGTTGGTCCCATATAGTTCGCCTAATTGACGTTCATTGTATATTGAATATAACACATCCCATTTCAAGACTCTCATTTCCCATATTGATCTCTGAAATTTTTCAAAATCAATTACTGTACCTCATTGTGAAATGCTGTGTTTTTCTTACAGAACCCTGAGTGAGATGCGCTTACGTAGTATTTTCACAGACTTCTCACATGACAAGTTTTCAAGAGACAATGCTGTTAATGTCCTAAAATCAGATGTCATGCAGAAGCTGATAGAAGGATTTCCCGATGTTGATTCACAGTTAGCACATTTAGCTTTTAGTCAAATTACAAAAACTGTCTTTAGGAATCTTATTTTAGATGATAATATCAGGTAAGATTTAAATCAGAATGCTTTGCACATTTGAAATATGTCTGGGGAGTTACTTTGCATTTGAAATTACAAATAACATTTAATATCATAAAAATAAATGCTGAAAATTTAAAGCAATAATTCTGTATAAAACTGTAAATTCTGTTGATGATTCACCTCCATCACTGCCTCCACTGCTTTCCCTATTAAATCCTTTTATATGCATGATCTGTTTCAATAAATCTTAGAATTGTTGATTAACATTGCAAACCAAGTTCTGTTTCTGATTTCTAGGTGTGATGGCAGAGGTCTGCTCGATTTGCGACCCATAAGTTGTGGAGTAGATCTGTATCGTCCCCTGCATGGGTCCTCACTCTTTCAGCGAGGTCAGACACAAGTACAATGCACTGTTGCTTTTGATGCCCATGAAAACATTCCCAAGCTAGATCCTTTGTTAGAAGCTACTGGGTAAGTCAAATTATCCTTTAAAGTGTTTTGAAATGTGTAACTTAGACATTTGGTTCTTATTATTTTTTTGTGCTTATTATATATTTTGTGCCAGAGATAGGGGGAACAGGTTAAGGGTCTGCTATCCCGGAGCTGGAATTGGAGATATTGTTGACAACATGAAAGATATTATGACGGGAAATGGGAACAAACCCATTATTTGTATTAGTGCAGGGGGTAATGATGTTGGACGAGTTAGGAGTGAGGAACTGATACAGATATTTAACAAAGCCATAGAATTAGTTAGGAGCAAGGGAGGAATCCCGATCATATGTGGCATTCTTCCAAGAAAGAGCGTTAGGAATAATTGGTTGTCAAGGGCACTTGGTGTCAATTGCCGGCTGGAAAAATATTGCAAATCAAATGCAATATCTTTCATAGACAACTGGGAACACTTCTATGGAAGAAATGAAATGTATGCTCGTGATGGGGTGCATCTATCGAGGGCTGGGGTTGTTGCTGTTGCGAACTCGTTGGAACCAGTGGTTAGAGGCATTTATTTGGGTTTAAACTGTTAGTAGATAGTGGTATGGGAATTGATAGGGAGGAAGGAGGTAATAAAAGTATGTGTTTGTTGGAGAAACAAATTGGCAAAATAATCAGGGAAAGAGAAGGGCCTCAAAATAACAATTCACTTAGGGTATATTACACTAACAGTAGAAGTCTAAGAAACAAAATAAACGAGTTAAATGCTCTTGTCTGTACAGAAAAAATAGATATTATTGCACTTACCGAAACGTGGATGAATGTAGAAAATAGAGAACTATTAGCTGAATAACAAATAAATGGATTTAAACTATTTCACACAGATAGATATATTAGACAAGGAGGGAGAGTAGCCATATATGTTAGGGACAATATGAAATGTAGTCTCAAAGAGGGAATCAAAACTGAGCCAAACACAGAAACTATTTGAATAGAATTAAACAAAAAAGCAAATAATATTATAATAGGAGTTATATATAGGCCACCAAATTTAGACAGAATGGAAGCAAAGCATCTATGGGATGAAATATCTAGATCATCTAGATCTAACAGTATTTATGTCATGGGTGACTTTAATTTTAGTGGAATAAACTGGGTGAACAAAACAGGGAATAATGAAGCTGAAGATTTTCTAGAATTAATTGATGATTGCTTTCTTACGCAACATATTAAGGAACCAACGCAGGGAAATAATATTTTAGATTTAGTGATAACTAACAGGGAAACACAATTTAAGGACATGGAAATAGGGAGTGAGCTAGGGTACAGTGATCATAAAGAAATCAGATTTAGCATAGAATGGAGTAGATCTGTAGGAGAAAATTATGTTAAAGTGCCCGATTTTCGAAAAGCTGATTTCAATAGCCTAAGAAATTTTCTGGGTCAAATAGATTGGAATGTCTTGGGGATGGGGTGTGGGCTAGACGTGAACCCAGCGACAGGTGACGGAAGAGGGGATTTCGATGTGGATTCAAAATATAACCTATTTAAAAATATTCTAAGCAAAGCCCAGGAACGTAGTATACCATATAAATTGAATAGATCGAATACTAATGATCCAAAGTGGATAACAAAGGAGTTCAAGAACCTTATAGGTAAAAAGAGAGCGTGGTACAAAAGGATTAAGAATTGGGAAGTTAGTTTAGAACAGGAATTCGCACAACTGGTTAGAAATGTTAAAAAAGAGATAAGGAAAGCAAAAAGAAACTGCGAAGTTCGCATAGCAGGGCAAGCGAAGACAAATCCTAAAGGGTTTTTTCAGTTATATCGAACTAAGACTAGGGAAAGGATAGGTCCATTAAAAACTGAGACAGGTCAAATAACGGATAATGATGAGGAGACGAGTAGTATTCTTAATAAATATTTTATATCTATTTACTAAAGAGGAACTTAACAATATGCCTTCAGCCGAATAAATATATGTGGGTGGGGACGAGGACAGGTTGACTAGTTTAGCAGTTACCAGGGAGGATATAATTAAACAAATAGTAAAACTAAAACCAAACAAATCCCCAGGGCCGGATGAAGTATTTGCCAGAGTGCTTAAAGAATGCAAAGAGGAGCTTTCTGAGCCACTGTCTACTATATTTAATAAATCAATAGAGTTAGGTAGAGTGCCAGAGTCATGGAAGGTAGCTAATGTGGTACCAATTTTTAAGAAAGGAGATAGATCACTTGTGTCAAACTATTGGCCAATTAGCCTAACGTCTATTGTGGGAAAGTTACTTGAATCGATAATTGCAAATACAATTCGTCTTCATCTTGAAAAACATAAATTAATAAATGAGTCGCAACATGGTTTTACAAATGGCCGTTAATGTTTAACAAATTTGCTATCTTTTTATTCCAGCATAGTTGAGGCAGTTGATAGTGGTAAGGATTGTGATGTTGTGTACCTTGACTTTAGCAAAGCTTTTGATACAGTGCCACATGAAAGACTGATTAAAAAAATAGAGGCTCATGGTATTGGGGGTGCTATATTAAGTTGGATTAGGGCATGGCTATTCCAAAGGAAACAGAGAGTTAGTGTAAATGGGGTTAAGTCAGAGTGGGATAATGTTAGTGGAGTGCTTCAAGGCTCTGTCCTGGAACCTCTGTTGTTTATAATATATATAAATGATTTAGATTCGAGTTTGAGTAGCAACATTTGCAAATTTGCCAATGATTCAAAAATCGGTAGGGGAAATTAACACGGAAGAAGACTCACTATCACTTCAAGTTGATCTAAATAGGGTTTTGAAATGGTCAAAAGATTGGCAGATGCAGTTTAATGCTGATAAATGTAAAGTTCTGAGGCTAGGTAATGATGATAGAGTTACAAGATACGAGCTAGATGGTGTTGAGATTGCGAAGTCAGATTGCGAAAGGGATCTGGGAGTTATGATTAGTAAGAATTTAAAACAAAAGGATCAATGCATGAATGTTCGTAATAAGGCAAATAGGACACTGGGATTTATTAATCGAAGCGTTAGTAACAAGACACCTGGTGTGGTTCTTCAGCTATATCTTGCTCTGGTTAGGCCCCATTTAGATTATGCAGTTCAGTTTTGGTCGCCGTACTATAGAATGGATATAACTTCACTTGAACGTGTCCAGTGTAGGATGACTAAGTTAATTCCCCAAATTAGAAATCTTTCATATGAAGAAAGATTAACAAAGCTTAAATTGCATTCACTGGAAAGGCGAAGAGTAAGGGGTGCCATGATAGAGGTTTACAAGTGGATGAATGGACACAACAAAGGGGATATTAATAGGGTATTAAAAGTATCAATACAAGACAGAACACGAAACAATGGGAATAAATTGGATAAATTTAGATTTAGGAAAGACTTGGGTAAATATTGGTTCGGTAACAGGGTTGTTGATTTGTGGAACCAATTACCGCATAACGTGGTGGAGGTGGGGTCCCTCGATTGTTTCAAGCGCGGGTTGGACATATATATGAGTGGGATTGGGTGGTTATATATAGGAGCTGCTTCGTATGGGCCAATAGGCCTTCTACAGTTGCCTTTGTTCTTATGTTCTTATTTTCTGTCTGAATCTTTTATCGGAAAATTATGCGTGTCATGCTTTAACCCTCCAAGTGTGATTATGCTCATTTGTTGATCTTTTGTGCTCCCACACTTATTATTTACAATGATTATACTGTTGCCTGATTTTTTTGGGGGGAAGCCCCTTGTAACTCCCTGAAGCTACTATCACATACAGGGTGCCAACTACTAGGTTGCATCAGTTGCAGACCTTTATATAGCCTATCAGGAACCAAGAGCCAGAGCCTGGCATCATCACAGAGGTGCATGGAGCAGTGGCATTTATTTATTTATTACATCACCACCAGGAAAGGCACCCAGAAAGTCAGAGAAACAAAACAGACCACTGCTGGCTTTAGAAAAGACCAAAACCTTGAACTGATAAAAGAACTCCCACACTACAATGTAAAGAAATGATCAAAATGTTTTTAAACTAGTGCCAGCTCGTTCGCCTCATCTCCCCCACTTGTTTGGGGAAAGGGGGAGGCAGCTTGTGGTCAGCCAACACCACCACTCTCAGTTCTATGCTGATGTGTGTAATGTATGCATGGTTGCCTTTCTGCTGCTTGGCTTAGCCCATTTGGTATTTTATGGAAGCCAATTGCATTCCAGCTGTTTACGTTCGCTACTTCTAGCTTAATGTAGCCTGCTTGGGCTATAAGGAGCCCAGTGGGGTTACCAACTGTTTACTTTCATGGCTTTGGGTCTTTCAGTTCTGGCAACCCTGCTCTGAGGCTGTTTATATGCATTTGCGTAGCGTGAGCCAGGCATTTAGTGTACTAGGAGCTGCACGAGCTCAAGATTCTCTTCCCTGTGCGCTCTTTTTGTACTGCCCTTGCTCAGTCAGGGATTACTGCCCTGGGGCATTTGGAATACACTTCCTTTAGCAGGCCTCCTTGCTGGGGGAGGGTCGTCCTTGCCCTTAATGTAAGCCAGTGTGGGGTGCACTGGGAATTGTGTGACCAGGTATTACATTAGCACACAGGCACACCAACATTTCTTCCCCGTTGCCCGTTCTCCATGGCTTGGTTTCGGGGGCTAGGGTCTTTTCTGTGTGGAAGCCCCTTCGGCACTTCAGATCTATCCGGGCTGATATGAATGTGTTAGACCCTGGCAATCAGTCAAGCAAATGGTGTTCCTTGGCCTAACGGGGACTGTGGGCCAGAACCTGGCCACCTCAGAGAGTCACAAGGAGCAATGGTCTATAGAAATCCCCTGTGGTTGGAAGCATTCTATGTCTGCCATCGACCGGCTCAGGCACCCAGAAAGGTAGGCTCTTCAAAACAAATCCTATCTGGTTAAATTTTTTTTACTGAAAGCTGAACTGTTGTACAGAACTCCCTCCAAACGAAAAATGGACAAACGAGCATGACGTCACAATCGTCACCGTGCTGATGTTTGCGCAACACCCCTCTCCTTGGGAGGTTATCTTGAGGTTATCTTGAG